TCATGCACAGAGCAGGGCGGATCGGGAGGTTGCGATGCCACCTCAGTCACGCTCAGGGTAGGGCCGATTGGGGGGTTGGGGCACCGTCCCCTATCACACTCAAGGCAGGGTCGATGGGGAGGTTGCGGCGCCACCCCTGTCACACACAGAGCCACAGGGCGAACAGGGGGTTTGGGCGCTGCCCCCTGTCACGCTGATCCAGTGCCAGGAGACCTCGTGGCTCCGCTGATCCCGGTGCTGGGAGGCATATTACCCTTTTACTATATAGGATAGAGGCCTGGGGGCCGGCTGGTTTGCCCTGAAGGGTGTCCTGGATCAGGGTGGGGGTCCCCACTGGGGTGCCTGGCCAGCCTGGATGAGGGGATGATGGCTGTTTGCAGCTGGTCACACACCCTTCAGGGTGGGGGTCCCCACTGGGGTGCCTGGCCAGTCTGGGTGAGGGGCTGAGGGCTGCTTTCAGGCTGGCGGTTGTTGACTGAAGCTCCCAACCGCTCCTTTTTTTTCTCTTTTTTTTATTTTATTCTGGGCCAGCTTTAACTCTGGCTCTAGCTCTGAGGCTTCCGCTGGTTTGTTTGTGTTCTATAATCGAAACAATGTATAACTCCAGCTCTGAGATCCCTGCCTTCTGTATTTGTTAGAATGTTTCAAACTGCCAGCTCAGAGGCCGGCAAGTCAGGCGGGTTACATTGGAGTCTGCAGTCCCTGGAGCAAGCAAGCCTCATGTTCACTTCCAGCTGCCTGGCTGCCGGCCACCATCTTGGCTGACAGTTAATTTGCATAAGGATATGCTGATTAGCCAATGGGAAGGGTAGCGGTTGTACGCTAATTAGCATGTTTCTCTTTTATTAGTGTAGATAGTTTAAAAAAATTTTTTTTATTGATTTCAGAGAAAGGAAGAGGAAGAGAGAGAGAGAAACATCAATGATGAGAAAGAATCGTTGATTGGCTGCTTCCTGCATGCCCCCTACGGGGGATCAAACCCACAACCTGGGCTTATATGACCAAAATTGAACGCAGGACCCTTCAGTCCGCGGGCTGACACTATCCACTGAGCCAAACCAGCTAGGGCCATGCTCATATTTTTAATCCAGGTCTGGCATTTAAGTTAGTAAAACTTAGGTCATTATTTTGCTATTGTATCTAGCTTTAAGTTTCCATTTTACACCTATATGAAATCTAGTTTTGTTTCTTTGCCTGTTTAACTTTACAGTTTTTGACAAGTGATTTCAGAGTCATATACTGTAGTCATTTTCAGTCATCCAATTTGATTTCACCTCAATTTAACATTTCTAAACTTAATGAAGTTACTGTATAATCGATCATGAATGGCATTGCAAGGAATAGTAACAGTGGACCATTGTATCCTCTCCTACTTGTATTCATGTCATTTTAGCCAGTTGTGTATCCACCTAATGGTGTATAGCAAGGGTGGGGAACCTTTCTTCTGCCAAGGGCCATTTGGATATTTATAACATCGTTCACAGGCTATACAAAATTAACAACTTAAATATAAGCCTGCTAGCTAATCAATGATTCTCATCACTGATGTTTCTATTTCTCCCTTTCCCTTCCTCTCTGAAATCAATATAAAATATATTTTTAAAAATAACATTTTGCCCTGGCCGGCTTGGCTCAGTGGATAGAGCGTCAGCCTGCAGACTGAAGGGTCCCAGGTTCGATTCCGGCCAAGGGCACATGCCTGGGTTGCGGGCTCAATCCCCAGTGGGGGGTGTGCAGGAGGCAGCTGATCAGTTATTCTCTCTTATCATTGATGTTTCTATCTCTCCTTCTCCCTTTCTCTCTGAAATCAATAAAGAAATATATTTTAGAAAAACAACATTTCATTAACTCACCCTTAATGCATTGGCAGGGCCAGATCAAATAATTTCTTAGGCCCTATATGTTCCCCACCCCATATAATCTCAACCATTCTCTTAGTATTTTTATTGATGAGATGGAATTTGAGCTTAAAGGAAAGGTGTTTTCCCCCTCATATAATGCCAAGGTAAAGGATTTCTTGTCTGACTTGATATGGTGTTGAATGAGGCACTTTGTAACGTTCTCAGAATGTACCAGATTTTTTTCCTCATGCCATTTAAAAATATCTAAGAATCTTTTATTAATGTTTTTATTGATTTTAGAGAGGGAGAGAGAGAAGTATTGATGAAGAGAAACATTAATCAGCTGCCTCCTACACGCCCCTACTGGGAATCGAGCCCACAACCCCAGGCATGTGCCCTGACTAGGAATTGAACCTCTTGGTGCATGGGATGACGCTCAATCCACTGATTCATATCAGTGGGGCTGTATCTTACTAGATAATATTCTGAGATACCTAGCCTCCTCATATTTCTCAAATGATATATTTTAAGGAAAACAACGCAATCTATAAAGCCATGGTTCTCAGCTAGGGGTGATTTTGCCTTCAGGGAACTGGGGTTGAGGGAGTTGCTAATTGAATCTAATGAGTAGAGGACAGTGATTCTGCTGAACATCCCACAGTTCACATCTTCCACCCCTATAAAGAATTGCCAAGTTTAAAATGTCAATAGTATTTGAGGTTGAGAAGCTCTGCTATAAATAAGACTAAAGAAAAAAACTTGTTTTAAACAACTGTCTAAATGGGTGTTTATTACCTTCCTAACCATCATGTTGAATTGCTCTATTATAGCTGACCTTCAACGACATGGGTTTGAATTGCACGGGTCCCCTTATATGAAGATTTTTCAATTGACGTGTGCAATTCAACTCTGGGATTCCGTTTATGTGGAGGGCTGGCTAGTTATACATGGATTTTTTACTTTGTGGAAGGTTGGTCCTCCTAATCCCTGCAGTGTTCAAGGGTCAACTGTAAGAGACCATCTTTATGCCATTTGGAATCCTGGCAGGAAAAATTAGTTGGGAAATTAAGGTTAATAAAACTATTGTGTGACTAAATGCTTTTCTTATCCCTGTTCTTCCAGTCTCTCAGATTCCTCCTTGATTTCTCATGTGCAATCACTTAATTACATTTACCAGCATCCTTAATTTTCCTGCCACCAGTTTATCAGTGTGAAGTCTCTGTTCCTAACCCCAGGATGTCTGTAGGTCCAGACAAAGTAATATTATATTGACATTGGGTTCATAAAGCATAGCTGGGCCCTCAACACTTAGAATCTAGTGGTGGCAAACTGCTGTGTTTATAGGAACCACTAGCTAAAGATTCGCTAACAAAGCCTGCGGTATTTACTGTCTTGCCCTTTCCAGAAGTTTGTCATCCTCCCTCTGACCTCTTATGTATCCCATCTTTTCCTTCCACTGGAAGCCTTTGAAACTAACTTCATTGGCCTCTCCAACACTGTTCTCTCTCAATCTTGGCACCTGATCCTCTCCCTGCCAGCATATACCTCTTTCCCTGGTGATTTCACTGCAGCCATCTTGTAGTTTTGCCCCTCCTTCTAGTAATCTCACTCAGGAATAGTCATGCCCTTTTAATGATGACTCTTAAGTTTATAATTAACACTGAAATGTACCATCTGGATAGTTCCCAGACATCTCTGAATTAGTGTTTAAAAAGCACATGCAGGAGTTATCCCTGACTCGCTCACTCCTGATTCCTGTCCCACACACATACAAACACATGCACACACTACACAGGTCCATTTGACCTTTAAATCTTGATTATGTGAAAAATCCTTGGTAGGTGTGGCTCAGTGGTTGAGAGTAGACCTAAGAACTAGGAGGTCACGTTCAATTCCCTGTCAGGGCACATGCCCAGTGGGCTATATCCCCAGTGATGGGGGAGGAGTGTGAGTGCAGGAGGCAGAGGATCAATGATTCTCATCAATGATTTCCTCTCCATTCCTCTCTGAAATCAATAAAAATATTAAAAATATATATATAGCGGGTATGGGTGGGTGGCTGGGAAGAGAACAACCAAAGAACTTGTATGCATATATGCATAACCCATGGACACAGACAATAGGGTGGTGAAGACCTGGGGCTGGGGGTGGGGGGCAGACTAGAAGAGGTCAATGGGGGGAAAAAGGGGACATACATAATCCTTCAACAATAAAAATTAAAATATATGTGTATTATATATTATAATTTTCAGGTTACTTGCTTTTTATTTTATTATAAACTCTATGAGGGAAGGACTGTTTGTTTTTCTGGTTCTTTTTGTTCACTATTATATTCTCATTACCCCTAAGTCACTGGCATATTGTGTTTGATAAATGGGTTTTGAAATGAATTCTTAAAAGCTTGTATTACACTATTTTATTCAAGTACAGTATATTACATGATTTAGCAAATTCTGCATTTCAGTATTGTAGTATAGACATTAATTCTAAAAGTTAATGTTGTAATAGTTGTCTTTATTTTAGACAGCATATAGTTTAAAATATTTCACTAGTCTTTTAATAGTCAAGGATTCAATCCTGACCAGTGGGCTTTGTTGGAGCATTGTATTGTACACCAAAAGGTGATGGGTTCAACCAATTCCCAGTCAGGGCACCCTGGTTTTGAGTTTGATTCCCCGTCGGGGCACATATAGGAGGCAACCGATCAATGTTTCTCACAATGATGTTTCTCTTTTCCTCTCTCTAAAATCAATAATAAAAAAAAACATATGGTTTGGCTCAGTGGATAGAGCGTCAGCCTGCGGACTGAAGGGTCCCAGGTTCGATTCCATTCAAGGGCATGTACCTTGGTTGCGGGCACATCCCCAGTAGGGGGTGTGCAGGAGGCAGCTGATCGATGTTTCTCTCTCATCAATGTTTCTAACTCTCTATCCCTCTCCCTTCCTCTCTGTAAAAAATCAATAAAATATAAACACACACACACACACAAACATATCCTTTGGTTAGGATTAAAAATAAAAAAGAGTCAAGGATTTAAAATGTGAAGGAACCTCAGCCTACTCCAGACTCCCACAGAGTACAGATCAGCTATAGCTATTCTTATATTTTGTGACATGTAAAAAAATACAGTATTATAAAAATAATACACAGAAAAACTCCCAGTTCTACTAATTTATTTCCATCTTTTGTTTTTCTTCCAATCTTTGTCCCTGTTCCAGATAACAATGAATTCTGCTTTTTATGTTTTACCACTTATAGGCATTTATCATGTTGCTACTTAGTCTTACTACATAGTACTTTTAACTACCTTATACTTATTTCTTGAACTTTATTGAATTACATAGCATTTCATCAAGTTAGTGTATCAAGATTTAACTATTGGAACTTTTTTGTTGTTGAACATTTTAAATCACTTTATCACCTACAATCTTTTTCTGATTAGAAATTAAATGGTCGAGGAAATCCAAATGGGTATGTTTTTCTTTTTAAAGTTATTTTAAAAATACATTTCTAGAGTTGATTTACTATAAATGTACATATACAACAATAGGCATATAAAGAGTCATTTTAATTTATACCCCTTTAATAGCTGGGAAAGTCCAACATTTTTTTCATGTATTTTTACTCTCCATCCTGTGTGAATTCTTATTCTTTGTTAAGCTACTTATTTTTATCTGGATTTTTAAGGTCTTTGTATAACCCATATTTTAGTACTTAATCCTACAAAATATTTCTCCCACTCATTTTTTTCTGTTATATTATTTTTCATTAACAGATTTAACTTTTTAAAAAAATTTATCTTTATTGATTTCAGAGAGGAAGGGAGAGGGAGAGATAGAAACATCAATGATGAGAGAGGCATCAATAGGCTGCCTCCTGCACACCCCCTACTGGGGATCGGGCCCGCAACCCAGGCATGTGCCTTGACCAGGAATCAAATCTGGGACCCTGCAGTCCGCAGGCCAATGCTCTATCTATTGAGCAAACCAGCCAGGGCTAACATGTTTTAATTAGTCATTTTATTTCTTCACAAACTCAAACGAATCATTCCTTTACAGATTAAGAAATTAGCTCTTCAATCCACCTATTTTATGGAATAGAGATATAGGTTGTTTTCTAAATTATTAACCAATGTTACCTACACCAAGACAGTTTAATTTTTTAGGCTTACAGAGTTTCTGCCCAAGGAGGCAGAGGCCACATGAGGGTGCTGGAAAGGTGGGCGGCTCATGTCTCCTCAGTCCACATACCCTCCAGGCAAGACAGAGTTACAACTGCCTCTGGCCTTCCACTGACTCGCTTCAGAACTTAAGCTCATTTTAACCTATTTCAACCCATGCCAAAATATTAAAGGGGAAGAAGTGGGAAGACTGTAGCATGCCCTTAGCCATAGATGGCTAAAAGGACGTTCTTAGCCTGCTTTATTACATACCTCCTAGGGATTCAGGTGAAGGTGCAATTGGTATGTCTCACCTGCTGAAGTAAGACGCACTTCTAAAGCCAGCTTTGATTTTTGGAATCTTTTTATTTTTTAATGAGTTTATTTGAACCAAGCTGATGACATGCTGGAAAGCAAGATCTCAAATGCTCCCTGGAATGTTCTTACGTCAGATTTAAATCAGCCTTATTTACACTGCCCATCATTCTTGTTTAGCCTTCTGAAATAAGACATTTAACCCTTGACTTTTGGGGATATTGGAAATCTAGAAGTAAAGATATTGTTCAGGAGCATCTGGATACTGACTCTCTTTCCCCAAACTATGAAGGTGTGACCTCAGTGACAACACGATTCATTTCTGAATTTGAGAACCTGTTTTTAAAAAAGTTTCATATTCTTGGCCAAATAAGTTTGGAACTTAATTTTGTGTTAATGTGTGTGAGATTGTTTGTATACCTGTGTCCTCTCTTCCTACCAATATGTAGGTCACCAAAATTAATACTGTTCTCTTCTGATAGCCCTACAAATTCAGAAATAGCTATTATTAATTCTTTAGTTGGTGTCAGTTTTGATAACAAACAGTTTCAGATTTGTGGCCATCCAAGTTTCCCTCTAGACCAGCGATTCTCAACCTGTGGGTTGTGACCCCTTTGGCGGTCGAACGACCCTTTCACAGGGGTCGCCTAAGACCATCCTGCATATCAAATATTTATACTACGATTCATAACAGTAGCAACATTACAGTTATGAAGTAGCAACGAAAATAATTTTATGGTTGGATCACAACATGAGGAACTGTATTTAAAGGGCCAGAAGGTTGAGAACCACTGCACAAAATTCTAATTTATTAGTATTTTCACAGTATCCATGTGACATCTATTGTCTTAGTGTCCTTCATTGTCTCTAAAAGAGTGATGATATATTTCCCTTCCTAAAGTCTAGAATTAATTGAATATTACTGAAAGTTACTTAGAAAATACTACTTTAACAAGCCAATGCAAATCTCTTTCAGGACAGTTATATGATGGCTATGATGAAGAGTATGACTGTCCTATTTTAGATGAAGATAGAGTAAGTATGAATTTTAAAATAAAATACACATTAAAAAATTTTAATTGGAAAGTTGACATCAGTTTTTTTAAGGAGCACTCATCTCCCCCCCCCCCCCCCCACCTTTCTTATAGGTAGTTGATGAGTTAGAAAACCAAATGAGTGAAGGTGGAGTTATTATTGATTACCATGGTTGTGATTTCTTCCCTGAACGCTGGTTTCATATAGTTTTTGTGCTGAAAACAGATAACAGCATATTGTACAAAAGACTTGAAACAAGGTAAGAAAGGGGATACATTGAATTCTTAAAGTATAATATAAACTTCTATTCAGATTCAGAAATTGGCCAATGTGATTATTTGGTCTCTACCAACATTCTGAATGTAAGAGAAAAAGATGCTTACAAAAGATACATACAAATGCTTGTATAATACAGGCATTTGTATAACTGAGTGAATACCTCAACTAATAGTTTGATATAAGTGAAATGTACTATGTAGCAACCTTTTTAATATGTTTTTTCCATAATGTAAAACCTTGCTAGGAGAACAGCCAAGCCAATAACATATTCTTTGCTATTGAATGAATATTACCCGAATTATATTTGAGGCCTGGCTGATGTGGCTCATTGTTTGAGTGGCAATCTATGAACCAGGAGGTCATGGTCTGATTCCCGGTCAGGGCACATGCCCAGGTGGCAGGCTCCGTCCCGTTGGAGGGGTGCAGGAGACAGCCAATCAATGATTCTCATCATTGATGTTTCTGTCTTTCTCTCCCTCTCCCTTCCTCTTTGAAATCAATAAAAATATATTTTAAAAATATAGATATTTGACTTAGTCCTCCAAGAGAGAGTTACAATCCAGAATAACAAAAAAACAAAACAAAAAACAAAACAACCATTTTTGAGGAACACATTTTCCCACTGTCTTCTTTTTTTAAATTTTAAATGTAGCTCAGTTGATTAGAGCATCTTCCCAATACACCAAGGTTGCAGGTTTGATCAGATCACATAAAAGAATTAACCAATGAATGCATAAATAAGTGGAACAACAAATCAGTGTTTCCCTCTCTTTCTCTCCCCCCCATCAATAAAAAAATTTACTGTTTTTTATAAATAGCCAAAGATTAAGGTATGAAAAAACTATGAGAGCTAGTCTTTTTGTTTTTAGCCATTGAAAAAGTTAAAGTAATTACTGTTTTTAAAAAAGACAGCTCTATTGAGATAAATTCACATACCATACAATTTACCCATTTGAAGTGTACAATTCAATGGGTTTTAATATATTACAGAGATGTGCATCCATTACTACAACCAATTTTCTTATTTTTTAAAAATATATTTTTATAGATTTCAGAGAAGGGAGAGAGAGACATCAATGATGAGAGAGAATCATTAATTGGCTGCCTCCTGCACGCCCCCTACTGGGGATCCAGCCTGCAACCTGGGCATGTGCCCTTGACCTGAATCGAACCTGGGACCCTTCAGTCTGCAGGGCGATGCTCTAGGGCACTACAACCAATTTTCAAAAATGTTCATCACCCCCTACACACAAAAAAGGCTGTCTTTTCATAAAATTAATCATCTTTTAAGTAGTTCCATTTAATTTTTATTGTTACAAGATTTAACTAATTCAAGTTTGAATTTTCTTTATAATTTTCACTAGCTAATTGATTGGCTAATTTATATACTGCCTAAAGATTACTTGTTTATTTTTTCCATGTCTTTGGAATTTGTAAAGTAGAAATACATCTGTGTAATCAAGTACCCAAATTAGTATATAGTATTTCAATCATATGCATTTCATTTTATTATATGCTATCTATTTATTTCATCTGTCTACATCTTAACTCCTCTAATTCTGTTTAAAATCTAGGACCATATCTATAGACTTCTTATTTATCTCATAACTCAGAATCTGGCTTGAGATAGATATTTTTGCTTAGTGATTGACATAAAGTCAGGGGGAAATAAATTTCAGATAAACCTAAACATTGGTCTTTAGTTTAATGCTCCTGTCAAAGAAGTCCCTCATTATAGGTGCCAGGCTATTTTCTATAGGTAAGGAGACTACAAGAAGTATTTTTGCATGATTTTTCATGTATTTCAAAGTATCCAGTTTCTGTTATGTTCCTAAAACTCCAATTAATGCCATTTGTTTGCTTATCTTCTCTCTGCTTTCTAGGGGTTATAATGAGAAGAAATTAAAAGATAATGTTCAGTGTGAAATTTTTCAAATTCTTTATGAAGAAGCATTGGCATCCTACCGCGAAGAAATAGTACATCAGCTGCCCAGTAATAAACCAGAAGATCTAGAGAATAATATCAATCAGATATTGGAGTGGATTGAGCAATGGGTCAAAGATCATAGCTCTTGACTTAAAAGACTGGCCACTTTATAATCACTCTTAAATATTTCTCTGCCCACATCAAATAAAGTATGCATTTATTAGTAAACCTTTTTTATTAAAATTGTGCTGCAGGACTAGTAGGTGGATAGTATAAAGGTTTATATTTGGGTGTGTGTTTTTCCATAAGAAAGTATAATGAATATAACTTTATTAACATGTTAAGTGCCCAGCCTGTTTTGTCTTCCACACGGAAAGTATAGTGTCAGTCACTGGTGACTGACTGGGCGCTTAACGTGTTAAAGATTGAGAATAAAAACTGTCATTGTTTAATGCTTCAATTGCTAAAGTATAAATAAACCTGACCAAATGTGTGGGAGGATATCGTTTAAGTTTATTAAAGAAGAAAATGAACATGATCTCGTAAAATAAAATTAAAATCTAAATATAAAGCACCAGAGTTTCCATTTTTTATGTATTCCCTTTTAAGGAAAGGAGGGGTAGACATAGTTATCTATATATATAAAAGCCTAGCCCTGACTGGTTTGGCTCAGTGGATAAAGTATCAGCCTGCAAACTCAAGGGTCCCCGGTTTGATTCCGGTCAAGGGCATGTACCTTGGTTGCGGGCACATCCCCAGTGTGGGGTGTGCAGGAGGCAGCTGATCAATGTTTCTCTCTCATCGATGTTTCTAACTCTCTATCCCTCTCCCTTCCTCTGGGTAAAAAATCAATAAAATATATATATATTTTTAAAAAGCCTAATATGCTAAGTGTCCAACCCATTGGTCAACCGCTCGACCAGTCACTATGACATGCACTGACCACCAGGGGGCAGATGCTCTGACTGGCAGGTTAGTTTGCTGCTGGGGTCTGGCTGATCGGGAGTGGGCAAGATGGGCCAGACATGCCCTGGAGCCAATCTCCCGAGGTCCCTCCCTGGCCTCTAAATATTTCTTCTAGTTAATTTCCTTTCAATGTGCATGAATTTGTGCACTGGGCCTCTAGTACTCTATAAAATGCAAAAGGTACAAAGTATACTGGAAAGGTAGTTTCTCTTCTAGGCCATCCCTGTTCTTCACCGATCCCATATTACCTCCCTTTAGGACATAATGTTACCTATGTTTCTCTTCAGGTATTTTATGCCTGCACAGTGTGTGTACACATTATTTTAAATGTGGTAACATACCATATTCCCTATTTTTTTCATTTAATATATTTTGGAGATTATACAATCTTAGAATCTACATACCTCCCTATCCTTTTTTAAAAAATTGCCCAGCTGGTGTGGCTCAGTGGTTGAGTGGCAACCTATGTACCAGAAGGTCACGGCTTGATTCCTGGTCAGGGCACATGCCCTGGTTTCTTTGGGCTCAATCGCTAGTGGAGGGTGTGCAGGAGGCAGCCAGTCAATGATCCTCTCTCATCATTGATGTTTCCTTCTCCCTTCCTCTCTGAAATCAATAAAAAATATATTTAAAAAATAAATTAAGGTATAATTCACATACCAGAAAATTGACCATTTTAAAGAGTATAATCCACTAGTTTTTGTCATATTGAAAAGACTGTACAACTATCTAATTCTGTAACATTATCATTACCCCATCAAAAATAAGTACCATAGGGGAAACCAAGATGGCGGCATAGGTTAACGCCGTTGTTTGCTGCCTCGAACAACCACTTCAAAAATACAACTAAAAGACGGAACGGACATCATCCAGAACCACAGGAAGGCTGGCTGAATGGAAGTTCTACAACTAGGAGGAAAGAGGAAACCATACCGAGACTCAGAGGAGGCGCAGTGCTGAAGTGAAATACTAAGGTGCAGAGTGCATGTGGAGCGGGCCGGCGGCAGAGGGCGCGGTTGTTGTTTTCAATCGGGAGGGAGTTTCAGACTCTGAGCTCCAGATCCGGGCGAGTCTCTAGGGACCCAGACTCAAACGGGAGAAGCGGGAAGGCAGCTTTCTCTCCGAGGTTTGCAGCGGTTGCAGAGCCGCTGGGGACGGAACTGAGAGCAGCCATAATTGCTCGCTCCGCCCGCCCTGTAGATCCCCGGGGACCCGCCCCACCCAAGCCCTGCACAGAGGCATTTGCCGGATAGCCTCAGGCAAAGGCTAGATTAGCACCGCCCTAGAGATCCAGCACAGAAGCTCTCCCACTGCAGACACAGCTGACTCTCATAGCCAGTTAGCCTGGAGGTCAATTCACCCCCAGTATTGCCGACAACAATCAAGGCTTAACTACAACAAGACTGCGCACAAAGACCACAAGGGGGTGCACCAAGAAAGCATAAAAAATGCGGAGACAAAGAAACATGACAGAAATGGAGGATATAGAGCTAAAAAACGCACTTTTAAGGTCTTTCAATAATTTTCTAGAAACTGCCGATAAACTTGATGAGAGCCTCAAGAAATCTAATGAGACCCTCGATGTTGTGATAAAGAACCAACTAGAAATTAAGCATACACTGACTGAAATAAAGAATATTATACAGACACCCAACAGCAGACCAGAGGAGGGCAAGAATCAAGTCAAAGATTTGAAATGCGAAGAAGCAAAAAACACCCAACCGGAAAAGCAAAATGAAAAAAGAATCCGAAAATACAAAGATAGTGTAAGGAGCCTCTGGGACAGCTTCAAGCGTACAAACATCAGAATTATAGGGGTGCCAGAAGATGAGAGACAGCAAGATATTGAAAACCTATTTGAAGAAATAATGACAGAAAACTTCCCCCACCTGGTGAAAGAAATGGACTTACAGGTCCAAGAAGCGCAGAGAACCCCAAACAAAAGGAATCCAAAGAGGACCACACCAAGACACATCATCATTAAAATGCCAAGAGCAAAAGACAAAGAGAGAATCTTAAAAGCAGCAAGAGAAAGAGACTCAATTACCTACAAGGGAATACCCATACGACTGTCAGCTGATTTCTCAACAGAAACTTTGCAGGCCAGAAGGGAATGGCAAGAAATATTCAAAGTACTGAATACCAAGAACCTACAACCAAGATTACTTTATCCAGCAAAGCTATCATTCAGAATTGAAGGTCAGATAAAGAGCTTCACAGATAAGGAAAAGCTAAAGGAGTTCATCACCACCAAACCAGTATTATACGAAATGCTGAAAGGTATCCTTTAAGAAGAGGAAGAAGAAGAAAAAGGTAAAGATACAAATTATGAACAACAAACATGCATCTATCAACAAGTGAATCTAAGAATCAAGTGAATAAATAATCTGATGTACAGAATGAACTGGTGATTATAATAGAATCAGGGACATAGAAAGGGAATGGACTGACTATTCTTGGGGGGGGAAGGGGTGTGGGAGATGCGGGAAGAGACTGGACAAAAAGCATGCACCTATGGATGAGGATAGTGGGTGGGGAGTGAGGGCGGAGGGTGGGGCGGGAACTGAGAGGAGGGGAGTTATGGGGGGGAAAAAGAGGAACAAATGTAATAATCTGAACAATAAAGATTTAATTAAAAAAAAAATAAGTACCATACCTGTTAGCACTCACTTCCCGTTCTTCCCTTCTCCCAGCCCCTTGCTATCACTAATCTTTGTCTACATGGATTTGCATATTCTGGACATTTCATATAAATGTAATCAATTCAATATGTGGCATTTGTATCTGGCTTCTTAGCATAATGTATTCAAGGTCATCCATAGTGTGGCCTGTATCAGTACTCTATTCCTTGTTATGTGGAATAATATTCCACTATATGGCTATACCACATTTTGTTTATCCATTCCATCAGTTACTTTAGGTTGTATCCACTTTGGGTATTGTGAATTATGCTATGAATATTTGTGTACAAGTTTTATGTGGATATATGTTTTCAATTCTCTTGGATATATTTCTAGGAAGGAAATTGCTGGGCTAAATTGCAACTGAGTTTAATTTTTTGAGCAAATACCAAATTTTTCAGAAGTGGTTGCATTACTTTACATTCCCACCATCTATGTATTAGGTATCTAATTTCTCCACATCCTTGCCAACACTTGCTACTGCTTATAATAGCCATCCTGTGGATATACTATCATATTTCATTTTGTTTTGATTTACATTTCCCTAATGACTAATGATGTTGAGCCTCTTTTCATGTGCTCAACCACTGAGTCACACCAGTTGGTGGGCATGAACGGCTGTTTTGAAAAGACTATGCTGTTTTGAGAAGTCTATTATCTTTTCAATAATAGGATTCATTAAATTCTCTTGCTAATCAAGTGATTGCTCATTAAATAATATTGACTCATAATAATAAATGAGATTTCCCTTAAACAGATGGGAAATATTGGAGTCTAATACAGAGCTACACACATTTTATGAATTTTATAAATATTAATATACTCACTAATTTCAGCCTAGATTTCATGTGAAACTAGTGACAATGCTTTAACACCCTATAGTTGTCTTAAAAATAACGTCATTTACTGTTTGTCTCTAGTTTTAGTCAAACCTACTTGTAAACTTTTTGTTTAAAAGGGATGATTTAAATCAAATTTAAGAAATAAGTGTGTGTTGCCGAAACCGGTTTGGCTCAGTGGATAGAGCGTCGGCCTGCGGACTGAAAGGGCCCAGGTTCGATTCCGGTCAAGGGCATGTACCTGGGTTGCGAATAAATGCATAAATAAGTAGAACAACAAATCAATGTTTCTCTCTCTCTCACTCAATAAATAATATAATGAAATAAAAAGATAAGTTTGCCAAATTTTTAATCATTTTATAATTCTGTAAATCAGACTTCTTAATATGATTTATTCAGTTTCCCAAGAGTGTCTTAAGATAATAAGCTTTGGCATATGCATAACCAATTATTTCTTTCCCTTATGCCCTTCTTGGTATATTTTAATTTTGTGTGCTTTGAGATAGGGGTTTGGCCTTACTTCAGTTATATTTCTTCAGCATTCTAAGCATGTCCTACCACCAATCCTTACTAACATTTAAATTTGTCTTTAACACAAAAGTTCTCAGTCAAAACTGCTGAGGACTGTTTATTCTTTCCTATGGAGTGGGAAGAGGGCAAGGTTAAAAAAAATCACTTTTTAATAATTTTAATTACATGTGAGAAACAATATGAAAATTCTTTATATATACCAAGGCTTTTACTTAAAATTTAGTTCCCTAACCCTTTTAATGACATAAATCTAGTGACAGTCTGATGTAAGCTATAAACACACTTCCTCCAAAAAGATATACATATTACTACAAAATGTTGTTTATATTTTTCAAAGATTTACAGACACCTGAAATCCATCCAGAGGTTCATTGTTTAAGGGGTTAATTTTTATGGAAGGGGATTAAAAAATAATTTGTGAAACAAGACTAGTGAATAGAAAAGCATATTGGTCATCCTGGAGGTCCTAGCCAGTGGATTAAGCAAGAAAATAAAGACACACAGAGCTGAAAGAAAGAAACTATTCTCAGTCAACATGATTACCTATGTAGAAATTCCAAACAGAATCCACACAAAAGCTACTTGAACTAATAATTTACTGTTGACAAGGTCACAGAATACTAGATCAATACACAAAAGTCAACTGCATTTCCATACAGTAGTGAAACGATTGAAAATTAAAACTATTTACAGTACCAAAAATCATGATGTACTGAGGTATATGTCTAATAAAATATGTGCAATATCTGCGTGCTGAAAATTCAAATGAAAGATTCAATTAGATGGATATACCAGGTTCATGAATTACAAGACTCAATATTAACATGTCAGTTTTCCCCAAATCCTAATATATAAAGACCCTGGGTCTGTCACATCTGCAACGACCAGAGGCTCGACCAACTGGAATTCAGTCCTGCAGTCAGCGCTGGGTTGCCGTGGCGACCCAGCACTCACTGCTATGACTACAGGCATGGTGACCCAGCACTGACTGCTGAGGGGGCTACAAATCAGGCCCAGAGAGAGGCTTGAAGAGAGAAGCAGGGTCTGATCCATAGCCTCTGTGGCAACTGTTGATCAGCACTTGCCTCTCTTTAGCTCTGGGCCTAGTCAGCAGCCGGCCTCCATTTCTTTCCAGGCCTCCAACAGGGCTACTCATCAGCCCCGCCTTTCTGATCAGGCCCGTTGATAGGCTGAGAGACACTGACTGGCATAGAAACCGACCAATCAGAACCAAATCTGGTCAACTGTGAGGAGCCAATGGCTGCCTAGGAGGCGGAGCTTTTGACACTGACTGGCATAGAAACTGACCAATCAGAACCAAAATGGCCAGCAGAGGAAGGCAGTTGAGGGGGACCAGGCTTGCAGGGGAGGGCAGTTGGGGGCAAGATCAGGCCAGCAG